GAAGATAAGATTGAATTAAGCATTTGGATCTGCAACTTCAGCATACGTAGGTGCGGGAGACATCTCGCCTCGCCGGGTTGAACGGGTTGCACGACCCAAGCTCATACCAACCTCGACCGAGACTTGAATACGCTGCTTGCTTAACTGTAACAGATCGTTGTCAAATTTAATCCTCTCCACCTGGAATGCGACAATAATGGAAGAGCCGCCAAACTGAAAATGTCCCAGCTCATCACCCTTATTGACCTGTACGCCACTTTTCTGAAATTGCTCATGTATGCTGCATATGGTCAGAATGCGAACTATAAATGTCTCCGGAGCATAATTGCACTTACACGACTGATCCCACATTCGTTGCTCCGATGGCGACAAACAAGACATCGCCAAATTCAGCCGTCTCGATGATGACATACGCCCTTCTATTTCTCGTTAAGATATCTACTTGACTCTGTAAAGCAACAGGATCGACTTGATAATAGTCGCCGGGAATACTCCGAAATAATTTGATTTTGCCGGTCACAGATGAGTGGTATCGATGATAGTCTTGTGGTGATAGACGAAAGCTGGCAACGGCTGCGTTTTCGTACTTTGAACCGAGTTGTGTGTCCATGACGAGATTGGTAATGCTAAAATCATGGCCTTTAATCCAAATCTTCTTCGTTTCTGCAACTGATTCGTACGTGACAACTCTTGAATCGGCCACAACGACCGCGGTTAATGCATCATCAGGCCGGTGGATCGGCCTTGAGCCGGCTTTATGCGCTCGGACGAAGAAGTCTTCGAATGTGTTATACTCATTAATATCCGAAGGGTCAAAGTCATCCATGTTGATACCATAATAATCAACGAATTTGCTAATTTGCTCCTTGGATGCTGGAGATGCCTCTTTCTTACCTATTCGCGTGTTAATAACTTCCACGTGCAGCACTGACCCCAAGACATACCCTTTTCTAGGGACTTATTGTGCATATAAAGTCGCATGGCGTGTGTCGTATCGATCCATTCAGTGATATGGTTAAACAGGAAGAGGAGCTTGAGCTTCTTGCCGAGCGGGATTATCTCCCGCTCGAGTTGCCCAGTCTGCGACAGTATGTAAGAAAGTATGCAAGATAGGAGATCACAGACAACTCACTTTGCGATTGCAAGACAACCATCCCCAGTGGGCGTTCTATTACGGGATTAGCACGCTAACTATAATGCTCTTATTCTATTCAATGAGATTATCATACTGGATGTACCCATGAAAGTAAATAATTGAGGACGGTGTGAAAGAAAGCCGAAACACTCAACATTGTAGCAGAATTATCTAAATTTGTCAAGAAAGTTATTAAGATGGATGGGCCTGGCCGCATTTATAAATAAATCTTGAGATTTCTCATGGCGCACTAGTGACGTCTGACGTCATAAATGTATACTAGTAAGTTAACCGTTGCGTTTATTAAAACTATGAATAATTAATACGTATGTGAAGCTCTAGTTTGACGTCATTAACGAAACCTTTTTAGTGGATAACGTGTTTGATAGGCGAATGCACCAGACAAGCGAGTGCACCAATCTTATTTCCACCTTAAATCCGGGTTTTAAACACTCTTTAAAAATTGTTTAAAAATTCAAACTAAGCCTAAAATGGCTTAAAATCTTTAAAAAAAAACACTATTTAATATAACTAGCTATACTATTATGAGAAAAATTTTTTTTTTTTTGATTTTTAGCCGTTTTGTTTATAATAAAAAAATGTTATAGGGTAGGTTTTTTAATACTATACAGTGCAGTGGTGCATTCGCTTATCGATGGTGCCCGCAATTACGTCGTAATTCGCTTAGACCACGTGACAACTTATCCACCGCAAAAGGCGGCCCGTGAAATCGTGTGCGCGACGCCTGATAAGTGCGTTTGATAAGTCCCCGCAACTTATCTAGCTCCGGACGGAAAAACGACACCACATAGAAAGGCCTCGATCGACCGAGATGGCCGCAGACGACTCGTACACGGCCGCAGACGAGCGCGCCCGCGCCGCCCGGAGGGCGGGCCTCCAGGCGAAGAAGGACGAACAGCCGGCGAACACGGCGCGGAGTTACGCTGCGAAGCAGCGGGAGTGGAAGGCGCGTCCTCCCCGGCCGCCCCCCTCTCTTCCCCCTTTCCCTTCCCTCTTTTTACGCAGGAGCCCCATGGACGGCTAACAGACGAAAACCTATAGGCCTGGTGCCGTACGCCCCGGCCTGCGGCAGACGGCTCACTCTATAGCTGGCCCGACGGCGAGCTCGTAACGCCGGACAAGCTAGCGGCGTGGCTCAAAGAGGATATCCTCTTACGACGCGTAGCGCCGCCGCAGAAGAAGCCACGGGCACGGGCACGGGCACGGGGTAAGGGTAAGGGTAAGGGCAAAGGCAAGGCGGTACAGTTACGGCAGCAGCTTGAACAGGAGCAGCTCGAGGCCGCGGCCCTGGCAGAGGCCGAAAGCCTAGCCGAAGCCCTTGAGGTCCCCCTGGTCGAGGCCGCCGAGCTGCTCGCGGACGACCGCGAGGGCTACGTGCCACCCACGGCCCTTGCGCCGGCTGCAGCAGACCTTTCCGAAGGATCTCTGCTTACGAAGGGCACTATCGACGCCTATATCGCGGCCGTTATCGAGCTCTGGCGGCTCCAGGTAGCCCACGGTAACGCGAACACGGAGAACCCCAGGGGCGCCGCCGTACGGGGCTTCCTTGAGCAACGGGGCCGACAGCGGGGGAAGCACGACCGCGCCTCCTTTAAAGACCGCGGAACCGACGGGATCCAGGCCGGCTATTCGCACGATGAATGGCTCCGGATCCAGGATCTCCTTCTCAGCGGGGCCGCATACATGCCGCAAAACCTCCGTACGCGAGTCGACCTCCTATTCGGCCACTACTACCTCCTACGAGGGGAGAACCGCCGTAAGATGGAGCTTGCGGACCTATCCCTACTCGACTATCCGTCTTCAGAAGGCCCGACCCCCTGTGGCTGCCTCGTGACCCTTCTGCGAGACGGTAAGCTGAACAAGACGGCAAAGAAAGAGTTCATGGGCGCCCTCCGGCATAAGGACCCCTTGCTCTGTACGCAAGGGGCTCTGGCACAGCTCTTCTTCTGGCGCTGGCACGTCGCCGGCGAGTCGCCCCCGTCCTTCCGGCGCCGCCAGGACTGGTATCGGATCAAGGCCCTTGTTGGACGGGACCGCGAGCAGGAGCTCTCGTACCCGACGCAGCTACAAGAGACCTGGCGTATCTTCGGCGCCGCTGGCCTTGTCGCGTCAAAGAAGACTCACCTCCCGCGCAGGGTAGGCGCCCAGGACGCTGAGACCTACGGCACGTCGCTCGCACAGATCTCGCAGGCCGGCCGCTGGAACCAGAGCGTGCTTTGCCAGGCCTATCTTACGCACCTACCGCGCCAGTTCATGCGCATCGTCGCCGGCTTCTCGGCGTCGCCGGGGGACTACTTCCTCGCGCGTGCGGCTAATGAACCCCCGTACGTCTTACAAAAGCAGCTCTGGCCGTGGATCGAGGAGTGGGAGCCTCGCTTTGAAGCGCGCGCGCGCCGGCAATGCTGGGCAGAAGGCGGCCTCGACGACGACGACCTAGCCGCTGACGGCTTCCTTAAGCTTATGCGGCGCCTGCGCATAGTACTCTTACAGGACCTGGCTGTCTTGCAGCCTCGCTACCCGTCGCTGCCCTTCTTCGCCTATGCCCCTTTCAACGGGTCTGAATGGGACGAGTTCGCCGTCGCCGTTCGCTCCGACGCGGCAGGGGCTACGGAGCCGTTAAGCCTGCTCGTACAACGCGCCCTGCCAGAGCTAAGCGGCGTGTTAGAGAGCACGCGCGAGGCCCTCTTACAGAATAACCAGCGACTCGCCATCCGATTAGAGGCCCGGCTAGAGGGAATCCAGGGCGGTCTCGATTCCCTGCTCCAGGGCAAGGTCCCAATCACCTTTACCGGCCACTTTGGAGCCGGGCCAGCAGTGTCGCTGGCGCCGGCGCCGTCGGCAGCCCCTACCTTGAACTTCAATACGGCTCCGGCTCCGGCTCCAGAGCCTCCAGTACCAGGTATGCCCGTCGTTGCAGCCCTGGCCAAGGTCTTTACAGTGCGGGATGTCTGGAAGGAGTGGGAGGAAGGGATTGCAGGTCAGCCGGCCGTACGGGTGCTAGAAGAGACGTGGGGAAGCCGCTGGCGCCCGGGGAACGGGATCAGGGTGCAGTTCTGTCGCCGGAAGGTGATCTGGGACGAGCTCTTGGCCCGCACGGCGTCCGGCAAGAGCGAGGAGGAGGCAGTTGCAGAGCTAGAGCTCTTACGCGCCGGCCGGAGCTTGAACCGGCTCGTCGACGAGCTCAAACAGCGCCGCCGGCGGGGCCAGGGCCAGGGCCGGATACGGGTACAGGTAGGGACCCCCGTGCCCGATGACCCAGACCCGGGACCAAGGCCGACTCGGGACCAGGGCCATCGGGGGCGCTGGGCTCGGCTAGGGAGGAGGCGGACCGCCCCTCGTCGACGGTAAGCTGGCCGTCAGGTAGGATCTTTATATATTTATAGCGGTAACTAGTCCGTATCTATCTATCTATCTAGAAGGCATATTTTTATTTTTTTTATTTTTTATTTTTTTTGAAGATTAAGGAGCAGCAGGATCAGCGCATTGCTATGTCGTAGTCCTTGCAGCGAAGCCTGGCCCCCCAGCCGCTGCACACGCAAATATCTCAGCGCCCGCTCGCCTATACAGCGTCGCTCTTGAACCAAACGGACCGCCAGAGCGTAGCAGTCCTCCAGCCCTGGAATTGCATCGATTTGGCTCCTAACCGTCGAGATATTCGCGTGCGCGGCGCCGGGCACTTATCAGATGGTAGTTGTGTAATCACATACGATTTCCCGAAATTACTCCGCAAAACGACCCCACGATAAGTTCTGCTTATCATGTACGTTACTCCGGACTAGCCGGGACAACTAATATAACTAATATATCAATGCGAGGTTTTAACTTTACCGTAGGCTGCCTTGTAAACCATATTAGATTCTTGAGCAAACGGATTGGCCAGAACTTTTACCGATGGTCCCACAATGTAATGTCTCGAGATTGCGAGGGGCTGGAACGCTATCTTCTTTATGAAATTCTTTCGGCAGTTGACTCTTTTCATTATTATCCTTCCTTCCATGCAGATCACTGCCCTTCTTGTCCTGTCCCCAACCGACGACTTACTGTACAAGAATGTTGCCAGCCCACCATAAATTAAATAGGAAGTTCACGAGCTCATCACCATCCCCACAAATCACTTAATATCTATCTCAATAGTCGCTATGCGTTTTCTAATAGCGTTTGTTGCCATCTTTGGGTACGCTGCAGGAAGCCCACATCCGATGGAAACGAGAGCCACCAATCAGGTCTCAACTTTTCAGATTGTTGCTTTCCGCCCCGACTCGGAAATCGACTCACTCAAAATCAAAGCTGCCAATAACACACTCTATATCGGTCCATCCGCCCAAGACGCATGCTGTAATCAGCGGAACGCCGAAGACGCCGCGACCTTTTATCTGAAGAGCGAGGAGCTCTTTCTGTACTCGCCAGGCAATCCGAAGCAGCAGGTTTATGTGGACAACTCTAGAGCTGGTACGGCCTGGGAAACCAGTTTCTTGAGATACCAGAATTCACGCTAACGTTTTCCCAGGCGAGAGAAATATTCGTTATTACATCGGATCTCAGCCGCAGCCTCAAGGTGCCAAAACGAAGGGATGGGAAATCCGCAAAGACGGGGCTCTGACTTTCAATGACGGTCAACTGATGGCTTGCAACAACGGTGCTAATACTTGGGACGTCTTGCTACGAAGCGGTGACCAGAGCGCTGGGAATGGCAAGAAGTGCTTGGAATTCACAGCCAAAACATCCATTAGAGCAAGTCCCACCAGCTGTTTGTATTCTGGTGAGCATCAAGTTGTCTCATTCCACTGCCTGTGATAGAGGGATTCCAGCTACGCTTGGAGAATATCTGTATACCATTGTTAAAAGAAATATTATTGGTAGAAAATTGTTAGATAGGAGAGGTTTGGTGTTACGCTGTATGTCTGTTGATCCTTATTGAGAGATATATTTTGTTGAGGGCGTTGTGCATGATGCCTTACAGGCGTATATAAAATAGCGCTGTTTCACAGGTGTAACCTTGATCTATCTCTTTGGTGAGACATTGGATAAGGCTATTATAATCGTAAGGCAATTGATAGGGACGCATCAAGAATTGATAAGAGCGTATCGTCCTTAGGGACGCTCCAACTTTTATAACATGCGATTGGCCCAACTTTTCAAGACTCATAAATACTTCACCATGAAGGCGGTGAAGCCAGCTCTCTTAGATAGATAGATAGAGTTTATTACGCCCGGGAGAACGAATCTCATAGGGCCAGTAGGTACGCTAAGCTATTTACGATTCCTCCTCATTGATCCGGTCTACACAAAGGAAAGCCCCACTTCTCTTCTTACGTCTTTTCCGTTCAAGCCTCGCTTGACTCTGCTTGACAGGCCTGCTTGAAGGCCGACTTCTCCAAGTGTTCAGCATCCTATCTTCAGCAGCTGAAGCATGGTCTATCAACTTGAGGCTGTTTGTTGTTAGTGATTGACTGCGGTGTTAACGTTTTACTATGTTCTGTTTTCCCTTTCTCAACTCAGTCTTCCCGTCGCCATCGCAAACTTGATTGCCGCTCGCACCGCCTCCAGGTTAGGTGCCCATTTGGGTCCGTCTGACGCCGACTTTCCGCCCAGGAAGAAGGAAAGGTTGCCCATCATGCCTTGTCCAACTTGTCGCATGCTTTCGCGTTCCGCCTCCCATCTTGTGCATCGAAATAAGAAGTGCTCCATCGTCTCTGGTGCTCGTCCGCACTCGCACATGTCCGATTCTGCGGCTCCTATCTTGCTGAGGTAACTGTTGATCCTCGCCATTCCTGTCCGAAGTTGCGAAAGCATATCGGCGTCTCGTCTCTTCAGTCTGTCATACAGCGCTTTCGTATGTTTGCCTAGTAGAGCTCGGTCAATACGCTTAGAGTAGCCGCCTACTCTATCGGGCAGTGTTTATTGCTGGCGCAAATTTCAGGGTGGCGATCAATTCAATCTGTGGTGTCAATTGAGTTGAAGCAGGGGTGGCACGGTGTGTTTTATGGGACGTGCACGCTCGCACGGTTCACTGATTGATCTTTTGTCCACCAGATGTGTGATTGAATTGAATTGATAGCCAGCCTGATTAGCTAGGCAACAGTGATCTTGTTGGACTGAACTAGCATTGGAGTGGATTTGGAGTGGATTTGGCTGGACTGGATTCACAGTTTCAGAAATTTGGACTGGACTGGATCGAGAGGTCTGGCGCCTCCTGGAGCACCAATGGACCATTCCTAATTAGGAAAGAGGCAAGCCCGAACTCCACTCTTTGTTTCAGGCACGTTGTTCCGCGTGGTGTTGATTGGTTTCCACGATGCTAAATCCGTCAAGTCCCATCGGCAAACCAAGTCAGTAATGCAGCGCGAAGGTGAGACGTCCGTTTGCCTACATAATATACAGCAGCACGAACCCGATAACATGCCCTTTACCATTTGACCAACAAGGTAATTGACGTCCCAGAATGGCCGCGCCAACAATCACCCACTTCTTCTCTCGTTCTTCTAATAGGTCTTCAGAGTCAGACAATGTTGTTCTCGCTCCAGAATCGATCAACAATACCGGTAGTCGCGATCCGGATGCCCTGATCCAGCCAGATGAGTTCAAGCTTCAGGGCGAGCAATATACTCGCTGTTCTGTGATCGCAAGAGGCCCTAGATCAACAAAGAAACGCACGCCGGTGATCTGGCTATACGGTGAGGATCTACAGTCAAAGAGAGATCGGAAACGGGTATGGTACTGCTACCTCTGCGAGAAACAGCGTCGTCAACAAGAACTTCCAGCAGTCTCAAACGGAAATTCTACGGCACTTGATTATCTCCACCTGAAACATCATATCGACAAGACTACTGGAGAACCCAAGTCCTTTCGAGGAGACTCGGTGGACTCGAGCCAGCCCTCGATATCCGATTACCAGGACATGAAATCGATCATCTTCTCCCGCCGCTTAGATCGGTTCAAGGAACTCCTAGTCCGCTGGCTAGTCTGCTGCCATATCGCCTTCTTCCAGATCGAGAATGACTACTTTCGCGACCTCCTCTTCTATCTATTCCCACCCTTAGCTGATCTCCTTCCAAAGGCAGCATCGACCATTCGCCAGTGGGTGATGAATATGTTCGAGGTGAGGAAGGAGAGACTGCGGCAGGATATGCTCGACAGTCGGAGTTCCATTTCGCTGTCCTTTGATCTGTGGACGTCGCCGAACTACCTCGCAGTGCTTGGAGTAGCAGCACATTTCATCGACAAATCTGGGCTGCGTCGAACTGCTGTCTTGGCGCTACGTGAAGTGGAAGGGGAACACTCAGGAGAGAACATCGCCGATGTCCTGTTGCAGGTCATCAAAGATTATAAGATTACGGACCGAATTGGCTATTTCATGTCCGGTAACGCATCGGCCAACGATGTTTGCGTTGACTTTGTACTGCGCGCTGTCTACCCAAGGATGTCAGATAAGCAGCGAAAACGCAGACGCCTCCGGTGCTTCGGGCACATTGTGAATCTCTGCGCGCAGGCTTTCCTTATCGGAAAGGACGCCGAAAAAGTCTGCAAAGATCTAGACGCTGCGTACGGGGAAGGTGATATGAAGCGAATCCGGGAGCTCTGGCGGAAGCGCGGCGCCATCGGAAGGCTTCACAATATCATCAAATACATCCGAGCCAGTCCTCAGCACCGTCAGTTTTTCAGATCAATTGTCTGTGGGGGAGAACTGTCTGAGTTTGATGGCTTAGAGGTGAGTTTGCGCCCTCCATAAACCCCTAGTCAGAACTAACAGTTAGCCAAGCTTATCCAAAGCCAGCAGACACGCTGGAATTCATACTTCACCTCGATCGGTAGAGCTCTTAACGTCAAGGAGCGAATTCAAGTCTTCTGTGACCAGTATGAGGCTGGCCAGAGCCAGAAAAGACTCACCGAAGACCGCCTGTCTGAGCAGCAGTGGGACGAGCTTGCACACCTTCATGATCAACTGGAGACGTTCTATGACGGAACCCTCTCTACGGAAGGCAGGCTTTCAACACTAGCGGATCACTTTCAGACACTTGACTGGCTACTAAATGAGATCCAGCAGGCCAAGATTAAATTTGAAGAACTCCACAAGGAGGCTGTTCGAAGGAACACCAGTCGAGGCACTGTTGCTGCTGAAGCTGATGACTTCGCATTTCTTGCCGCTTCAGCGGAAGCTTCCTGGCGTAAGGCGGAGGAGTACTTCAAGAAAGCGGATGAGGCACCGGCATATTATGCCGCTATTGCGCTGAATCCGACTCTCAAAAACCAGCGGTACATCGAGACTTGGACAGATGAAGAAAAGAAGTCATGGATCCCGAGCGTTACGAAGCTTGTTAGGGGGCTCTGGCTAGAAGAGTATCGGGGAAGACATTCTACAAAGCATACGTCAGTTTCCGCTTTGTTCTGCCCAACTTTGCCTGCTCCGGTTAGAAAGGAGAAGGCCTTTGTGGCGGTCAAGAGCCATAAACGACTGAAGCTTTGTCACGTGGCCCTGGCAACCGACCCTCCAGCCGTCGACTTGCTCGATCAGTTCCTTCAAACAGATGTTATCCGGCTTGGTGAGGACGAAACCTTTGACGCTATCCGTTACTGGAACGATCGCTACTATACGCAGCCGGATCTAGCCCGTATGGCTCTGGATGTCCTGGCCGTTCCATCAATGTCAGATGAGTGCGAGCGGCTATTCAGCAGCGCCAAGATACTGCTTTCCGACCGGCGGTCGAGGCTTAAGATAGATATCATTGAAGCCAGCGAGTGCCTCCGATCCTGGTTCGGCCCCACCTGCACAGAATACTTTTGAGGATATCAACATCGGGAGACTAGAAGGGGAGTCTGGTCTGCAGGGAACTCGGCACGGCGGGGAGGGATCTGAAATTAGAATGGGTAATGAGGACCTTCAGACCGTCGAGCGAGGGTTTTCTGGATGAGGACAATACCACTCAGGATGGCTTGCGGTAACCAGTGTAATTGGTGCCAAATACATAGGTACCGCAACATCATTGAACAAGGATCGATTCCGCAGTAAATCTCGCGGCGACTCTTTTCGCAAAATACTCCTAATCCATTTGGAGAATTGGATTTGCATTGGCGCTCCTGGAGTCCCCAGTCCAATCCAACAAGATCACTGGGCGGTGGGAGTAGTTTTCATAACTTAATCGTATAACCACCCTTTCAGGAATTTTTAAGAGGATAATCTTCGCACTATTCACTAATCGGGCAACTCCTTGGTACTAGTAAGGTCTGAAGAAAGGTGGACTCGATTTTTGGCCACTGGCCAGAGCTGTTTCCGGACCATCGCCGGTAAACTATTCTCTCCAGGATCTTTCTACAGTTTGGGCGCCATCGAGTTCTGTTCTCCATTTTTGTTTGTAACTCCTTGGCGTACGGGTACTGGAAAGCCTCGCCCTAGCTCCATATTCATAGAGGTCCGAGATATTATCCCTTGAGCTGTGGAAAACCTCCACCAGGTCACGGCGGGGGGGTACAGCCAATCAAAATGCATCGGATCAAAGATACCTAATCCCCTCCCTAATTTAGCCTATGATAGAAGTACCAGCAATCTCTCGAGTTACAAATCGCTACATCACACTGCTCACATCCCCAAATCGATTGACGCCTTCTTTTATTATAGCTGACCGGGGCCAAAGGCCTCGTTGCACTTCTTGATCTTGGCTGCCCTAATTGAAGCCCTTTGCAAGCAAGACAATCTGATTTTTTCCCTCTTCGGACGTGCTTATGTTGTGCCACGGGCGTAAATTCGTCTCCGGCTCGAAAAGTCCGCCTTGACTGGCTTTGCGGATGGAATGTCTTAAAGACCGCATTGTAGAGGCATTCCCTCCACTTCTTCTGGCTTATATAACGCTCCCAAGCCGGCTCCCCGTGCAGCTGTAAGAGGAAGCTATTCACCAAGACTATATCCAATAAGAAGGTCCAAGCAATAGCCTGCCAAGCGCCCCGGCGGATAGGATGATCATAGCCTAGATATGACCTCCTTTGGTCACCTCGGTCAACATGATTCATTTCGTCGTTATAGGAAGCAGCAATAGTAGGGATCGATATAAGCTTGACCGGCTCACCACTAACAAAGCGCTGTATTGGCCGTGCCATTGGGGTCTTCGTTGACGGTCTCCTCCTCCAGCGATCACATCTCTCATCACCAGTAAAGACGGTTGAAAGAAGTAATACGAGGGCATTATCCTTCCAAGCGATCTGATTGACCTGGAGAAGAAGAAGATAAGTTATCAGCCGAATTGTAAGGAAGAATGTCGAGTCTTCTTACCTGATTATCGGCCGTTGGGATGACCTTGATCCCATTAAATTGGAACCCTGACTTCCCTGCCTTATCGGCCTTTTTGGCGTCTGCAAGACCTTTGTAGATGCCACAATTAGGCCGAGCTGTGCCAGTTGCACCATGGCCGTGCTGACGAAGGGAGCGGAAGAGGTCTGGAGACGAGAAGAGGTTATCTACGAAGACGTGATATGTCGACTCCGGCAATAGGTTAATAAGGGCAATAACGACGCTTTGGGTCGAGTTCAACGCCATGATCTTATCCCCAGCTTCTGTGATGACATAGATAACTTCCTTGACCTCGTCAACCTCATTAGGAGCCCTCTATTGGCGGCCTCTTCCCTTGCCTTTCCTCCTCCCTCGTTGTGATACCGGCTTCTTCCTCTCAACGCCAACTGGGCCGTATTTTGCGCTAGGTTGGTGCCAAATCCACCTCATGAAGAGGCCTAGCTGGGCAGCTATCCAGACTTTGAGGCCTGTGTCAATAGGCTTATTGGGAACATATGTAACTTGCTTATTCCTCCCGGTATATCGGATCATGCCCTCATCTACGGCAAGATGTGAGCCCGGATCACAAAGCTCTGTTGTTGCGAGTTGAATATATTGAGACCACAGCTCAACGCACTGGAAGACAATAGGAAAATCGTCATCATCAGTGAACTTAGTGTGGTCAAAGAGCCGGAGATGACGATAAAGGAGTTGAAATCGGTCATAAGTCATGAACTTAATTATCGAGTGTTCAGGCCGCTGATCCTCTAGCTGAGAGGTCGTCCAATGGTCTTCGACTGATATTTCGCCGTGGACTCCTATGTAGATAAGGATCCCAAGCCAGATATATATCTCTGCAGCCGTAGTTGGCTTCCAGGCGCGGAGGCGGGACTTTTCTGTTATTTCGTGTTCTTGGCTATCAATAACGCCGCTCTGGAGCAGGCTATTGACCCAGTCATTAGTGTATTCGACCCAGCTATTGACTAGGGAAATAGGTATAAAGTGTTGGAAAAGGGACAGTGGGTTCTGGGGCAGCTGCTTGACAACAAGCTCTCGTCGCGGCACTTGGAAGGGTTGAAAATCGAAGCCTCGGTCTTCGGCAGGCAGAAAAGCCGGTCTCCGGGTGCTATCACCCTCATGCTCTTGAAGGCTGTTATCTTCATTGATAAAGCTGCTGTCATCATACGCGTTGAGCGCCTCCGCCGAGATCTCTATAGGTACCGATTGGGAAGTCATTGATCAATCCGAAAGAATTTCTATGAGGATGTAGGTGTAATCAATCAATGACGCATCATAAGGTTCCCCTCATGTACCTCTCAGAAGTTGGGGTGGATGTGAGGCTCGGTACGGCCGGGAGGTTTTCCACAGCTCAAGGGATAAACCAACTTCGCCTTAACCGGAATCGTAAATATCTCTTCGCGTAGTTTCTTATCCCGTATTTCTAATATTAAGAGACAAGGGTAGCGGCTAGCGTTAAAATAAATATGTGTTCCAAGCAACCTCATCCGCTTGGTGTTCTCGCGGCCCCTCGTAGACGGATAACCCTGGTCCATATTCAGTGAAGGATAACGGTGGAACTGGCTGGGTAAAGGCCATTGAATCAGGCGGCATAGTAGCCGTTTGAAATGATCCTAAACCCATCATATCAAACATGACGTCTGTAACCTTCGAGGTGCTAGATCCCTGCTGAGAAGAGATTCTTGGGGTTGACGGGAAACTACCTCCATTTGGACTCTGCTTAATCAACATTTCGGCGGTGCTAGCATCGCTCGGACTTCCATCACACCGGCTCCGCGAACTGCCCTGGGTATCAAAGGCAGAAGAACAAGCGAGCATCCCATCCACGCACTTCTTCGCCTCATTCGCGATGTATTTCTGGATGAGAACGCAAGTGCAGTCTGTATGCCGCAGTAATTGGGTCTTTAGGTAGTAAATTTCGGCGGTTAAAGATTCGAAACACGTCATAAGATAGCGGTTCTGGTCCTCTATGGCTTTTTCTCGAGAGGCGAGTGCTAAGGCTTCATCACGCTTGCGGAGACGACACTTGTTCGCCGCAATGCGATTACGTTCGAGCACTCGGCGCCTGCGAGGATCCTTGGGAAGATCATCATCATCAAGCTCCTCATGATGACCCGCTACCTTCTGCTCTTTTAGCTGCTTCTTGGGTTTTCGGCCCCTTTTCCTTGGCTTTGGTGACTCTGCAGCCTGCCCAGTGGCACTGGACTCGAAAGGCGCCTCATTTGCTTGTGATTGTCTTCGGGTATGGGCCCGCCGGTTCAACTTCTTGTCTTCCATATGTTGAAAAAAAAATTGGGAATCCCCCTTATCTTCAGGATTCAGACTGTTAGTCTGAAAGTCCTAGATTTAAAGTTCAAAGTCCTAGATGAAATCAACTGGAGATATAAACCCGAGAAGAACTCTCATCTCAACGATGAACAATCAAGTTTCATAAAATATATTTTCACCCAGCACTACTGCGCAATATAAACAACATCAAATGGCGAGAAATAGAGACACTATCTTTACATAATACAATATCATCCATGAACTGGAAGTTTGGGATCGTCGGAAGCCTTACTCTCCAAACGAGCGAGAAGATGAGGATAAAGGTCTCGGAACTTAAGCGCTCGCTCTCGCAAGGCAGTATCACCAATACCTTGAGCTAGCACTTCTAGAACAGATGCTGCCACGTATCGAATCTTCTCAATACATGGTTCCCCGTTGACCCGTAGACTTTGAAGACTCGATGTGTGAATGATGTATAGCATATCCTCAGCAATGTGCATGGTTTCGCGAACTAAGCCAAGCCCAAAGCTGAGTTGGCAATGGTCTGACTGGAAATTCGATCGGCCTTGGACAGTACTACTTGATGGTGTGGAGATCGCAGAGGTGGTAGCCGTTGCCTCAGTCTGCGACGGGACTGTTAGTGACAACGGTTGGGCGATTGAGCCTGCAGGATCTGAAGTTCTTGGATCGTTGAAATAGTGGGACGGATATTTGCGTAAGAACACCACTTTCAAATATTGGTACGATATGTGCAGATTCGTTCTCTGTGCCGCAAGAGCCTGAGGAACTTGTGGGCGATGATCATGTTGATCAGCGAAGTAGAATCCGTCCAAACTAGTGTCGAGCGAGTAGTAGAACCGAAGTGGATTGTGAACCTTGTCAAGAATCGTTCGGAACTTGCGAAAGGCAGCGGCCGTGGTATGAAAGCGAATATCGGATGTGTTGAGATCATTCGTCATGTCTTCTCGTTCCGCTAGCAAGAGATCTTCCGCTGCCCGCCATATATCCTGGTTCGCATTGAATCCGACCAAAAGGTCAAGAGTCTCTCGCCGTCCATTGTAAAGTTTCACAGTGACCTCATCCTCGGGCCCGAGCGATTCTGGATAGCGAGGAACAGTAAAGCCCCAGAACAGGCTTTTCCCAAATGTCATGGGATGACCTCCAAGCAGAGATGCAGCTTTGTCTCCTGTGTATAATGCCCAGAAAGCTCGCCGACATAGCTGTGCCTCTACTGGAGACATTTTTTCATAGCTCTTTTCATCGTGTAGACCCATCAATAGGGATGTTCTCATGGCATTCCCCAAGATGTACCACGAAGCCCTAGAGTTTCCGGATGTGCCTTGCCAAGCAGCGTGCAAGAGGTGTATAGCCACAGAAGAACTGGTAGGGTGGTCAACATCGCCTTGCGGGTATTGATCGTGTGTATTCTTGAAAGCGCTGTAAAATGCCTCGGCGATGCACCAAGGAGCTCCAGATATCGACATGGGCAAAACAGCGAGAATATAAGCACAAAGCAATGACAAGAGCATGAATGATCTTGGTTCCCACGGATACTGATCGTGGTATTGTAGGTCCTCTAGGTACTGGCGGAGATGCGGTTGGTATATGATGGGATAGATTGGATAAATGTGATCGACAAAGAGATCCAGACACGTGCCCATGTAAGATATGACATCTGGTGTGGAGACGCCAGCATCTGCCAAGTCTTTGGCCAAGTTCTGCAAAAGGGGATGGAATCTGTAATTCACTGCGGATGGCAACCTTGGTGATATGGGCAATAACTCCACAGAAGTTATTAGACATCGAGGACTATTTTGCTCTTGATTGCAGGAAACATGTGGGCCCGATTCATGATGATAGGTTTGGTTAGAAGCCTCGTAAGATGGAGTGCTTGTTGTCTCTCGAACTTGATAGTCCCCAGAAGCTTCCGGAGCGGGGTAGGCGGCCGGCGAAGGTAGATTTTTGTCAATGATGGCCGAGTCTTGTGAGACTTGGAGGTCCGATTGTCGCTTTCGACTCTTCCTTCCACGCTTGGCTAAAGCTCGTAGAGTCTGACATTTGGCGCCGACGTTGCGGCAATTAGAGCATGATGGTCGTCCAGCATCGCACTGCTCGGTTAATTAGAAACGATGAAAGATGGTAAAAGTTTTATACGAGCTCTGTAATGACGCTTAGGCCTACCTTGATCTTCCGTTTATGACACAGGTCACAGCTTACACTTATTCGCGAGCTGCGAGTTCGACCATGCTCAGCAGCTAGCATCGATGACGCGTCTGATTCTGGGATTTCCCCCTGGTGGGGATCTAGTGACCTAGTTCCTGGAATATTATCGGGAGCAGCATCATGCAGTGGGCTCAACCCGGCTGATGAATGCGGCGAATATTGCTGCATTGGGATCGTTGGTTACTGGGATGTAGATCAACATGCGACCAGAATGTGACGGCAAAAAGAACATTCAGTCGCCGACGGACGTTGATGAGATAGGGCTTCGGCTAATTTTGCAGCTCATTAGTCGCTTTACGGCGGACCATTACTAACTAGCATGTATAGGCTACGATTATTGGTGGACTGTAAACAGTTAGTAGGAGCCTTGCTTGAAGTGGTATAGTTTCATTCGGTTAAATTCTATCTGGAGTTGCGTAGTAGACAGTTTTATTTTGCCGCGGCTATTTTCCAAACCTAACTCTAACTCACGTATCTGCCCCAGACCCACATTGTTAACCGTTTTGAGCCATCATTCCGCGGTAGCAAGCTCATAAATGTTTTCCATGACAGCACTTTACTTTCTGCAATAGTGTAAACCTGAAATAAGACGAATGGAGCTCCAATATAGTTTTCGGGCCGTTTTACTTAAACTTTTCTTCCCCACAAGTCAGACTACAAGCTGGGGACCTGGGGAACTAAACATGGAGGTTGGGCGGCATGATGAGTATAAGAAGGACCGTTGGAAACCGTATGGAGGTCATGTCTCTTCCTACCGCTACCTACCTGCTTATTCTCTTGACATCTAATCACCTGAGGTCGACAACATGAGACTCGTCCTATTTGTTGGTGCTGTATTTGGCGGAGTTGCGTTTGCACAGGCAACAAACAAGAGCGAGACATACTTTGAGGAGCTTGAGCGTTTCCGGAGTTATGGACGATCACCTTCCTTCTACCCTACGCGTAAGTACCGATCAAGGGGTTTCAACTGCAAGACCAGCAGACCATTTGGATAAATTGTGCTAATTGATGTAGCGGTTGGGACTGGACTAGGTGACTGGGCTTCAGTTTACCAGCAAGCTCAGTCTCTTGTCTCCAACATGACCTTTGAGGAAAAGGCCAACATCACCAGTGGTTACGAAGGGGTCAACGGCTGCGGCGGAAATGGGGGCAGTGTGCCACGACTGGACATCCCCGGCTTGTGTTACGCTGATGCTAGCGCTGGCGTCCGGGCCTTCGAAGGCGTCAACTCATATCCCGCGGGAATCCATCTTGGAGCTACTTGGAACCGAGATCTGGCTTACATGAGGGCACTGCATTTGGGAGCCGAGTTCAAGCGCAAAGGAGCCAACGTGGCATTAGCACCCAGCGTCGGAGGTCTAGGCAGGGTTGTCAAAGGTGGTAGGAACTGGGAGTCCCCCAGCAACGACCCGTATCTCACTGGCGCCTTGACTGCACCGACTATAAGGGGCTTGCAACAGTCTGTCATCGCTTGCGTCAAGCATTTGATTGCCAACGAGCAGGAGACCAATCGAAAAGCTGCGGAGCACCTCCCAACAAAGGTCAATGCCTCAGTTTCCTCTAACTTAGATGACCAGACCATGCATGAGCTCTACCTTTGGCCATTCTACGACGCTATTCACGCAGGCGCAGGATCTGTCATGTGCGCCTACAACCGTGTCAATAACTCGTACTCGTGCCAGAACAGCAAGCTGATGAACGATCTCCTCAAGACACAGCTTGGGTTTCAAGGATTTGTCGTCTCAGACTGGTACGAGCACAAGAGTGGTGTCGGAAGCGCCAACGCTGGTCTGGATGTCGTGATGCCAGTTGCTCCTCTTTGGAATGGAAAAGAAGGCAGCTTAGTTGATATGGTAAACAACGGATCTGTCAATGCATCCCGTCTAGATGATATGGCGACGAGAATTGTTGCCACTTGGCTCAAGTACGGCACTTTGGAGAAGGGAGCAGAGGGCAAAGGCTTTCCACTCAATCCAACTCTGCCTCATGAGTATGTCGAAGCTCGAGACCCTGCTTCTAAGACCATTATTCGTCAGAGCGCCATTGAAGGACATGTCCTTGTCAAGAATGTCAGGAATGCTCTTCCCTTCAAGAAGCCCAAGTTCCTTTCCGTCTTTGGATACGACGCAGTGGCACAGGGCGTCAACACACCTGACCCTACTGGCTTCACGTCATGGGCAATGGGACATGGAGGAGCTCAACGCCACCTAAATGGCAGCGCCTTTTCTAATGATACTCTGTTCCGTCTCTTTGGCGCGAGTGAGATTGATTCCGTAACCGGGCCCTCCGTTTACCTGAACGGAACACTCATCTCTGGTGGCGGCTCTGGAGCCTCGACTGGCGTTATCCATGCGCCTTTGGATGCCTTGAAGCGAAGAGCATACGACGATGATACTTTTCTCTTCTGGGATACATCATCGTACTCGCCGTTTGTCAACCCGGCTTCACAAGCTTGCTTGGTGTTCATTAATGCAATGGCATCCGAGGGATACGATCGCAAGAACTTGACTGATGCTTACTCGGATCACTTGGTAACGACTGTTGCATCGCAATGCAGCAACACCATCGTCGTTGTGCATGCAGCAGGTATTCGCCTTGTCGACCCATGGATCGAGCATGACAATGTCACAGCAGTCATCATGGCTCACCTTCCTGGTCAGGATTCTGGCCCTGCCTTAGTCGAGATCTTGTATGGTGAACAGTCTCCGTCTGGACGCCTTCCTTACACCATTGCAAAGCGAGAGTCTGACTACGGACATCTTCTTGAGCCGGACATTCCTCGCGATGATCACCCATTCTACCCTCAAAGTAATTTCACTGAAGGGGTTTTTATTGACTACAAGCATTTTGACCAATCCCATATCGAACCGCGATTCGAGTTTGGATTTGGCCTGTCTTACACAACTTTTGCGTTCTCAAACTTGACAATTGATGTTGATCAGACCGCAACCGTCCTGCCACCCAACCCTGACGTTGTGTTGCCAGGAGGCATCAGCTCACTTTGGGATGAGGTAGGAACTATCACCTGCGTCGTTAGCAACACCGGAAATGTCTCTTCGGCCGAGGTTGCGCAGCTTTATCTAAACTTGCCAGGCGAAGGACCATCAAAGATCTTGCGTGGCTTTGAGAAGAAGGTGCTCGCCCCAGGTACACGCGAGATTTTCAAGTTTCCGTTGGCAAGACGCGATCTTAGTTCCTGGGACACAGAGAAGCAGCAGTGGGTCCTCAACCGGGGCTCATACGGTGTCATGGTAGGCAAGAGTGTGCTTAATATTCAGCTTGTTAGTAACTTTACTCTACAGTAAGAAGATCCCATTTCCGGGCTAGGGTAGCTAACAAATGTAAGATTAGACAAGGTATTATCATAAGTAGCTATACGTTAAGAAAGATTCCCGTCCATACGACTGGACATGCTAACATGCCGTTCTATCTTGATTGCAGCCATCGCCTTCACAATACCCCAGATGCAATTCACATCGTGTTAATGATATATGTGCGGATCGCCACTGAGATAGCGAATGACCATGCCGAATACCGCCATGAGAAACCTTGCAGCAGGCGGTGACAGCTCCGTTCGCATGGAGAAAGCCCGCACACTTTTGACCAGTGATCGGAATGGTCTGGTATGGTCTGGTATGGGGGGTCAAACCAAACCATACGGGGCCCCATAGGGACACGCCTAGGCGCGCCTCCACACCTGAACGCGTAGGCGTGCGGATTATGTCAGCCCTCAATTTGGCCTGTCGAAATTGCGCTCTGATGCAGTTTTTACTTTTGAGAATACTATGATTTCAAATGGTTATGAATTCTTGGTTATCTACCGGAATGAATGGCCTGCTGGGCCTCATTATCTGCCGCTGCCGCCTCCCAAATATCATGCATACCTCTTCTGCTGGAAAAAGGGTTGCGTTCCATCTCCACAGCTACCTGAGCCTCGACACGGTCATCTTCTGCTTTGCTCCAATCTAAATAGGCCATCATCTCCTCTTTAGTCCAATCTCTGGAGCCGTTTGGAGTATCGCAGCGCTTACCCATCTGCTTCCAATCGAGACACCATTGATAGCTGGATTTGTCGTACCGCAGAGGTAGACCTAGCGCCCTCTGATACTGCTGGTTAGTTTTAATACTGCCACGAGGCTGCACCTTGTACCAAGCATCTCGAGCAGCAACATATCTCTGATAGATAGCCCCAGGATCGTCATACCTTGATGTCGGCACTATCGTTGTCTGTGCCAACGGTGCTGCTGATGATGCTGATGAAGATGTCGTCGGCAATGGTCGTGCCTGCGCCGTCGCTGCTAGTGGCTTCAAAAGCTCCTCGTATCGTTGAGGGCATGTCTTTGAAGTCATTGTATGACCTATCTGGTGGCATCTGCTGCATTTAGGTTGTGTCTTTGGCCGTGTTGTTGCCTGAACTGCCTCGAATGCACTTGGCTCTCTCTGGGTACTTGATCGTGGTCTCCTAGTACTCGAACCGGCGGCTATCCGATCGGGTCAATGCCGAGGCTCCAGTAGTAACCGGTGAACACCATGGCGATTGAGGTGCCAATGTGTATGAAAATGCTCCAGGCGAAGGGACTGATTTTGTTCTTGTAGAGCCTTGAGAGTATGGGCGCAAGGGAGGCCGTGAGATCTGGAGAATGCACCAGTGCAAATGGGCAGATGTTCTTTTAAGAGGAGCTTCCGCTGTTCTTCCACCTTGCGTTAAGCCTCGTGAGATACCCAGCCACGGACAGCACTGTATAGTGATCCAGAGAGCTCGATTGGTGTTCTCATTTGTTGGCTGGCTTGGTTGGATCGCAGTTCGGCTAATTGATTGAGAAGCGCATGCTTCATAGCCCTCCAAGCCTCGAAGAGATTTAGTGTGGATTTCTTGAGGTGGCTCTTAAGGAGCCAATGGATACCCTCAACCCCCGAGGTGACTACATTACCAAAATGAGGATGTTGATCAACCCAAGCCCTCACTAACCTTTCCTTCTACGGATCGAGCCAATTGGCCTTGATATAGCCAACCTCTTCAATATATTGTGGTAGGTAGCGCTTTTCAAACTCTTGTACACGCTGATCAAATGCCTTTTCATCCGGTGACTTCATGATCGAATGCCAATGATTGAAAAACTCATTCCAATCGGCCAGACTTTGCTGGTAGGCCTCTGGTCCTTGTTGGTGGCGCACGAATGTCGGCTGGCAATAATGGAGGACTGCCTTATTCGCATGCCATAGGCACAAGAGTGAAATTGAGGATGGAAAGCAGATTTCTGCGGCGTTCATACAAGCCTTATCACGGTCTGTTAGGATAACCGATGGAAGCCTTGTATGGCAGAGCTCATACAGGGACCTAAGCCGGTCCAAGGCCCATTGGTAGTCCTGCTCAGTCTCGCCGCTAAGGAATGCAAAGGCTATACAGAACGATCGCTGGCAGGCGTCAACGCCAACCATGTCAAGCAGTGGCATCCCGTATTTGTTTGTCTTATATGTACAGTCGAGGAAAAGCAAGTCTGGGTAGGCCTGAAGGTAAGCCAATGACTCTGGATGGGCGAACAACACCGCCATGATTCGGTTATCCGAATCAAGCCGCATTCGTTTCCAGAACCCTTCCTTATCCAGTTGGTTAGCAAAGGCGTGTATAGTACTTTGATCCTCACAAAGTTCTCGTTTGCTATCTGCGATACGAATATAAATATCTTGCTGTGTTGCAATGGTGTTCGAATTCTGACGGATGTAAATTCTGATATCCTTTGGCGCTACCATACGCCACCACTCTTTCGGCATACCCACTCTTTCGGCAAGCAAAATAAAAAAAGCTCCACCAAAACTCCCCAACTTCACTTACACCAGAATTGACTAAAGTAAATGGCTCATTAGAAGATAATATCTCTACTGATTATAGAAATGACTGGAGTTGACGATTGGGGTACTTTAAGGTTGTGCGGGGTACGCGATCTATGCATGCGTTGCTTTGGAAATGTTGTCAGCTTAATCTCCAAGTTCCTCACCGCTTCTTTCCGTGTTTTCTGGCCTTTATCTTTGACAACGACAAGAAAATGCCTAGGCCAAGATTTCGATGGAAATATACAGAGGAAAACATGGCAGAGGCTATATTGGATGTTACTGATAATGGCTTTTCGCCCCCTCAAGCCGCTCAGAGACATGGTGTGCCCCGAAGCACTCTAGTCGACAGACTTAATGGCCGTCGGGCCGTGAATGAGCAGATCCACCCTCGTCGACGCTTGTCCAAGAGCCAAGAGGATCGATTGGCTTTCTGGATACTCCGCCAGGAGTCCTTGGGCTACGCTCCGTCCCACAGTCAGATCCGCGCTTGTGTCATGGGCTTGTTGAGACGGCAGGGCGAACAGCCCGACTTGGGACACAACTGGGTGGCCAGGTTTATCAATCGTCGCGCAGACCTAAAGACCAAGATGGGCAGACGCCAAGAAGCCAAAAGATTCAACTCTTTCACACCTAAAGCGGTTCATTGGTACTTTGATATTCGGGAGGGCCATTATGGCTGGATCAAGCCTGAAAACACCGTCAATGTTGACGAGGGAGGTATCATGATTGGTTTCGGTAAGTATCTATCTGTATACCGTTCAAGTGCTTGAAATTCGTCCAACTGAACCTTTTTGTTTAGGCTTAGATAGCCTGGTTGTTGGAAGCGCAGACCCGAAGCGGAAGGCATTTCTCAAGGGACCACAGACTCGAAACTGGACTTCATTTATCGAAGCCGTAACTGCTGATGGCCGCGTTTTAGTTCCCGGCATAATCTTCAAGGGGAAAGAGCTCCAGAAACAATGGTTTCTTGACGAGTTCAAGCAGATAGCAGACTGGTATTATATAACATCGCCTAACGGGTGGACTGACGACCACATTGGCATTGAATGGCTCGAGAGAGTTTATCTGCCACAGACTACGCCCGCCGACGAGTCAGACGCGAGACTGATCATTTTAGATGGCCATGGAAGCCATGCGACGGTATGTCCTTCATTTCTCCAACCTCAAGATCAGCGCTGAGTGGTGGAAGGATGAATGGATGGCCACGTGCTTCTTGAACAATGTTTACTGCTGCTACCTGCCAGCACACTGCTCTCATGGACTTCAACCACTGGACAATGGAGTATTCAATGTATCCAAGGCTGCATATCGACGAGAGTTGGAGAAGTTCGCCTTGTTGACTGATTCCACCCCGATGGACAAGGCCAATTTCATCAGGGCCTACGCCAAGGCTCGCCGAGTTGGCATGACGCGAAAGAACATACTGTCTGCTTGGAGGGTTACTGGAAACTGGCCGATCTCCCGTGAAAAAGCGCTCCGGCACCCTGAAATCCAACAAGATAGGCCAAACGGCAGCCCGAGAGCGACTCCCGAACCAAGGCCATATTTCGACTCGGACGATACACCACAGACGAGTCGTCAAATTCGCGATCTTGGACTTAACAAAACACCAAAGACGCGGAGACGGTACAACGTGATAGCCAAGGGCTTTGAGGCTCAGCAGCAGACGGTAGCGGCGCATACTCTGAGGATTGCTAGCCTAGAGGAGGAACTGGCTCGCCTGAGAAGAGGGAAGAAGAGGAAGGCAGTGCCGAATCCTAACAAACGTTTCATGACCCTTGGAGAGACTTTAGCTGGTGGAGAAGTCATGCCAGAAGAGGAGGCTCAAAATACGCCTGGTGGGGTGGAATCTGTGTGTTCAAGCGAACAGGAGGCAGAATCGGAGGCTGGCTCAGTCATCGAAGTCAGAGAGGAAACCATACCCCACCAACTCACCAGGCGATCAGAGCGGCTCGTAAAAAAAAACAAAGTTTCAACAGAGACATTAATTTATGATTTATCAAACAAAATATTCCATGTATATCTCGCAATTTGGTCAAATTATGTGGAAATAAAGTTGCTGATTTTTGGTGGTGCTTTTTTTATTTTGCTTGCCGAAAGAGTGGGTATGCCGAAAGAGTGGTGGCGTATGGTACTCCTGCATTCGTAAGGCGGCTGACTGTCGACTTGTCCGCATCGGAGAGCTGCCGATGGACTGGATGGGCCGATTTGTGGCAGCTTGGCTCGTGGTTGTGTATATGAAACCGGCTGTCCGGACGATGCCTTAAAGACCAAGTCGCCTTATCTAGGGATTCCTTCGCGATAATCGAGAACCGACAATTAGTTCCTCGCGTAGTAGTCTTACGCTGGCGGTCTTTTGACACGCTAGGCGGACGACACCATCGATCGCATGCGTAGGTGATAATCTGCCTACCGCTAGTTGACCGTGAAGATCTTCCAGTTATGAACGCGTAGCCTCTCGGTGCCGCCCACTCGTTGATAGCGGTGAGCAGAGC